CGGAAACCAGGGGCGTTCCTGCTATCTTATCAAAGGCGTTTATAAGATAACCCGACACGCTGCATAGAACGATTGCGTGCAGTGCCTTCGTTCTTTCATTTCTTTGTAATTCTCAGCCGACTAAGTTGTTGTCCTAGTCATATTCATCATCTTCCCAAGAGCTTGCCTTCCTATACTCCGAGTAGACATGAAAATAAGTCTGACATCGCCAATTGTAGTGGTTTTTTACATTGATTTTTTTGTGTTTTTAAAAGGTGCATCAACTGGCCATTTTGATTATGAGTTCTTCAGGAAACATTGTTGTAATGCTTTCATTCATTGGTGAATCATGCACGAAAAGGATGCACATGCAATAAAAAATAAAAAAATAAATACGTGCATTCATTCAATTATCATGATAAAATAGATGGAAGTGAAACCCTTCTCGCAATCGCGTTCAGTCGCTAATTTGGATTGATATCTCCTAATTTAAGTTTCTCTGTCATTTGAAAAAGCACTTCAGCTTCACACAGTTGACATCAGTGTTAAACAACGTTTTTCACCAACTGGAGAAAAGGTGTTAGTACCAGTGCGTACCAAAAGTATGTGGACACCCCTGGAATCGATTCTCAGGGGTCAGCTAAAGGCTTTTTGTGTTATGAAACCTTCACCATTCAACTCCTGGTGGTCGATAACCTACAATGACATTTTCGGCAAAAGATTTCGTTCTAACTTAGCGAACTATTTTTCATGGAAAGTTTTTTCTTTGTATCAAAATTATGTGACGACTGTGATCTGCACGATTTAGAAAAAAAACACGCCGCAATATCTTCAGATCTAAGTCCCGGTTAAGGATTCAACTCAATAGTTTCTAGTAAGCTAATGCCATTTTGTTTTGGCAGCTAAATGACGATGTCCGGAGGTCTGGATATATGTCTTGCCGATCTTTTCTCAATCAGTCAATTTCACCGCCACCGACGTGTTAGGTCACTTGTGATATTACTCTTTTGTTCAATGACGTAGAGACCGCGAACCACGATACCTCTACGTTTTCAATAAGGATGAAGTCTGAGGAATACGCTAGCCGACTTGCCAATCAAAGCCGTTGCGTTTAGCATTTTTCCAAATGGAATGGTGTCAGGGACCTCCCCTGCAAAACAAGTGATTTGCAACCATGACTTTTCGAAAAAGGTTGTAGCCGGGACTCAAGCAACCGTAATTCCAACTAGTTGTACTACCTGACAATGTTGGCAACCAAATCAATCTCCCCTCCTTTTGAACCAACCCAGAATTTGATGCAATCTTCGAATTGTCTTCTTCGAGCACATTTGCGGGTCCGACCAAAGTCTCTCCAAAAACCTCAAGACCCACCCGAATAGTAAGGAATAAGCTTCTTTCTGCCAGTCGAGTTGGTCTATGAAAGAAATTTCCACAGAAAGTCTTTTATACTAATTTTACCATTTCCACGAAAGCACTGTCTGTGTGGGTTCAAAGTATCATGTTGTGATCTTTTTTGAGTGGGAATTCCAACCTTGCCAACCTGAACCCGCATTCATATACAAAGCCTTCTTCATCTTCTTTCGTGTCGTGTGCTCAATTGATTGAATGAGACACCGATTGGTCTTTTTTAAGATCGGGAAGCGTAAAGTTGAGTAGTACGAAAAGAATAATTTGAGAAATTTGAGGCTATTCTTTCCTGTTTTGAACATAAGCGATTGAGAACAACCCTCAGTCAAGGTCGAGAGCTTAGCATCAGGATTTCGGATTTCTCCAAACCTACGAGGACGCATGACTGGTTGACGTGCTATTTCGCAATAGGAAGGTTCAGAAGCATGGGGATCCCATTTCTGTGCTCGGTCTTCTTCAGAAAAACGCTTGCCGTGAAGAGGAATGATGCCAGAATAAGTAACGAAAGGAGAAGTAAAAATAGGTTAGGAAATCGATGCAAAAACTTCATCTGCCTCAGGGTGTCCACATAATTTTGATACAAAGAAAAAACTCTCCATGAAAAATATCACGATCGCTAAGCGATTAGGAAAAAATCTTTATGTCGCGCAGAAATGAATTGTACACGTTACCTTGACCACCTAGATTACCGAATGTGATCACGTCTAACCACCCGCGCGCAATAAAGCCTTTAGCTAGACTCCTGAGCATCGTTCCTAACAGGTGCACAATACTTGGTACCACTGTATATATGCCTTCGAATAAGCTTCGAAAACCAAATCTAGCTTTAAGAGAACACGTACCGAGAGCTGATAGTTATGAAACATAGAGCGAAACTATATCATTATTTGTCCCCATAGCTTTTATGTGGCTATGCAGTGTAGATTATTTTTAGAAGAACACGTACATTTATAGTGTACCTCCTTTGTGTGATAGATGCGACATCTCTAAACTCCCGAATTTCCCATTTGTTCCTTTCGAGTTGCAAAACCTGTCCATTTGACTGTTCACAAACGTTGGTAGCAGATTCAACATTTATTGCCGCGCTTGTGTTCGAGTTGGGTTTCTCAGTCAAAGTTGCAAGTTCATTTTCAAGTTGTCCTCAAGTTTTCGAAGTACTCGGTTTTCAAGTTGTTAACTGTATTTCTTACTTACTTTTTTTACGTTTATTTTAAATTTTCATTCGAGTGACTGCATAAGTTTTCCCACCGCTTCCCCCCCCCCTCACTGAACTCGACTGGTTCGTGACCTCATATCTTTTTTAGCTTGTTATTGATCTATGTATCATGTAAATTATTAATTTGACAAACATCGTCCTCCAGATATATTTATCAATTTGTTTACCTCCTACCTTTACTATTGCTGTTTTTGCTTAATTTATAATCATGTACATTTGCTTTAATTCTCAACAATAGCCGAATGAATGAAAAAATAAAACTGCTTCAGCGACATGTGGCCAATCCTTTATATTTAATATATGAAACTCGACCTTCAATTACAGTCCATCCTACGTATTTTCGTGATTCAGCTAGAGCTTTTATTAGTCGACTCAATATTCTACCACCCAGCTTGTCAGGGGAGGGATTCATACCATCATAGAAACTGAGATGATTTTAATGCCACCGTTGCTGATATACAGGGGGGCCAAAAAAGAGTCACTCTCACTCACATTCAGAACAGAATTAATTACACTTTGCCAAAACCAAACCGTGTGATATCGTCTTCCTTGAATGTACAGTTTTTCTTGCACGGTTTCTGTCTCTTGTTGGGCCTTGGTTGGGTATCCTCAATGTGTGTTGGTAGTAGCGATTCTCTTGTATGTATGTACAGATTTTCGTTGAGCTATATGTAGTTTACGGAGAATCTTGTGGGAAATAAGATTTTCCGAAATTTGATGCTAGTAGTGATAATACATGCTATGATGTGCTATAATCTCACTCTCCCAGTAGCCGACTTGTATAAAGGAAGTGAGAAGGTCAACAATAGAGGAATAGCTATGGTGAAACGTAAAGGAAGGTCGCAAGGAAAAAGCCCAAGAATCATGCTCTCCCCACCAAATTGCACTACCATGATATTGGAACGGTTATTTTATTGTGTCTCTATTCATAAGAGGCACGAGAAGAAGATCGAGTGGCACGAGAAGAAGGAGTGACGTTTAGTTTAGAATCATAAAGAAGCCCCACTAGAGTGGGGCTTCTTTATGATTCTAAACTAAACGTCACTCACAGCCAACAATTATTTGAAAGGCTGTCCACAAAAAAGTTGAGAGTTGAGAGAATTGCGCAGTATAGATCCATCACAACTATTACAATTGTGGAGCGTACTCAACCGAACATCAGTTTTAATCTTTACGCTGCGTGTTACTAGGCCTGACATTTTTATCCTTTTCCCATTATTTAGAAGTACGTTGAGATCATTCATAAAGCCTTTCTCCTATAAAGCCGCTTGTAATTATTTTCTATGATACATGCTGTATACACAAAGAGGCAGTGAGCATTAGTGGAACAAAAACCAGGACAAAAACCCGCAAGGAGGAGAAGATCTTTCCGCAATCGTTTTGAAAACTTTTTTGCCATTTTCGCAATTTTCAGGGTACAGTACTTTGACGAAAATCACATGAGGTTTCTTTCCCTCTACAAAATGAAGGGGTTTTTGTTGCTGCAGAGGAGTTCGAGGCTTAGATAGAAGGGGCAGACGTGGTAGCAACTAGCGCTGTTACCACGCGTACAATCCGGATGAATTATGCAATTCTGGCTGGTACGCCGTCCGAGCCGACCTAGAATCCATTCCTACAAGGCATATCAGTGGTTTATCAGTACTGCACTTGTTTGGAAGGGGAAGACTGGCTCATATTATACTGGACTGGCCTTTGCAAATCATTGTCAAGTAAATCGCAATCAAGTTGCCATTACTATTTTAAGTAGCAGTGATATCTGTGGAGCATCTCAAAAGGGATTATGGGGGGGGGGGGTGCAGAAGAAAGGTTTGTGCAGAATGCTTCATCATTTCTTTTTATTGTTAGATAGCTAGATCAACGCGATAATGTTCGTATCACCTGCCGTAATCTGTGAAGAAAAAAACAGGGTTAAGCTCCTTCTGAAACACCTTTTTCTTCTTACATTGTCAACTGTTTACACCACCGTGTTTGGGTAAGCACATATTTCCTTAAGCCCAAGATTACTCGTAAGTGAATTTTTTGCTGGACACCAAAGCTTAGGTATGCTCATTGTGCATTTTTATCTGTAACAGGAACACAGTTCTGATTGGTTCGTTGCAATACTTGGGTCCTAGGATTTAGATTTTGGTGAAGCTTAGGCGTCTGATAGCGAACCGCTGGCGAAGCACTGTAAGTTCAGTTCTAAGCTGCCCTAAAACTCCACAAGTAGAACCTTAACTCCATTTGCCTTTCAAATACTTTCTTCTTACATGCTCGTCTCATTCCATTCCCTTACTTTTCCGTTTCTGATGCTGATGTTGCCTTTACCTTACTTTACTATGGAATAGATATGTAGCTCTTCCCTTGATGAAAATCGACCGAACTTTGACCAGTTTTCAACCCATATATCAGTTTTTAGGAGAATATGGGTCGTGTGTGTGGCGTCGTAGTTGTTACTGGTGCGAATCGAGGCGTTGGTCTGGAGCTTACTAGAACGCTTCTACTGAATGATGCCGTCTCAAGGGTATACGCCGGCTGCCGGAATAGTGAACGAGCTGAGGTTAGAACCATTTGCCAATTTCGAATATTGTGTTTAAGTGTTAGGAACCGGCCCTGTCTAGATAAATGCTTGATAATGCTTCTATGTACGAGAAATTGTAGCTCACCGAAAGTAGTGTCCTAGTGTAGTCGGCTCAAAATCAGTGCAGTGCCAGTAAACCGAAAGGGGAAGTCAGCTCATTCATGGGTAAGATAATGTCCAAATAATACCCTTCCGTCTGGATCGGCCAACGAATGATTGACCCTGATCGCTACTCTGAAGCGCTTCGCTGTGAAAGCCAAAAGGCGCTTTCAGTTTAGGATATTGTGGCGCTTGAAGGTAAGTACAATGCGATATGTAACGACTGCAAAAAACAATAAAAAGTAAACGTCGAAAAGGCTGAAGTAGAACCCCTTCTACAATAGGAGCGAAGATTGCGGGCATAGCAGGCAGGAATGCCGGAACAAGTTTCTTGGGCATGCCGGCCATCGCTGGTTCCGTGCCGGCAGTTGAACCAGCCTCGACCCAGCTGATCGCACTCTATGCGGTGGGCGGTCATGGCAACACGAGGCTGTTGTAGCGAGCAATTCTTCTCCGTGGGTGATATTATCGAGCTGTTTCAAATTATGAGCGCGGTATCACCTCTGTGGATGTGCAACCACGCAAGGAGGTGATGGCAGGGATTGGTTTGATCGCCTAATCCCGACCTCTGCCTTTTATTTGTCTCACAATGAAAATTAATGCAAATTTTACGCAGAAACTGAAATTAGACTCGTCGCTGTACGCATTTGGCAATGGTACCCATGAATGTTTGTGATGCTAAACGAATGATATTGCTCTCCACCAAATTGCACTACCATGATATTGGAACGGTTATTTTATTGTGTCTCTATTCATAAGAGGCACGAGAAGAAGATCGAGTGGCACGAGAAGAAGGAGTGACGTTTAGTTTAGAATCATAAAGAAGCCCCACTAGAGTGGGGCTTCTTTATGATTCTAAACTAAACGTCACTCACAGCCAACAATTATTTGAAAGGCTGTCCACAAAAAAGTTGAGAGTTGAGAGAATTGCGCAGTATAGATCCATCACAACTATTACAATTGTGGAGCGTACTCAACCGAATAATCCCCCCCCCCCCCCCCCCCCCCCCCCCCCATTATCTTTACGCTGCGTGTTACTAGGCCTGACATTTTTATCCTTTTCCCATTATTTAGAAGTACGTTGAGATCATTCATAAAGCCTTTCTCCTATAAAGCCGCTTGTAATTATTTTCTATGATACATGCTGTATACACAAAGAGGCAGTGAGCATTAGTGAAACAAAAACCAAGATCAAAACCCGCAAAGAGGCTAGGATCTTCCCACAATCATTTTGAGAACTTCTTTTGCCATTTTCGCAACTTTTCAGTGTACA